AACACTCTTAGAGTAAGGCTCTGTCATAGACCTTGGGGATACATGACCCTGTCTTCAAAAATCCTGCAGTCTAGACCGGGGGTCAGCAACATTTTTCTGTCGAGTACCAGATGATAAATATGGCGGGCTTTGTGGGCTCTGCAGTCTATGGGACAGCCACTCCGCTCTGCTGATAACAGTCTGAAAGCAGCCGTCAGCAACCCCCTGTGAACAGGGATGGGTGTGTTCCAGTCAAACTTTATTTACAAAAACAGGCTGTGGACTGACTTTGCCTGCAGGCAGTGGGTTTTGGACCCCTGACCTAGTGGACAAAGCAAATGGAATTCAGGGTGACACAAGATTCTGTAAAGCAGGGGATTAGACCTGGTAGGGAACGGGGAGTCTGCAAAGCCTTTCCGGAACTGCGATGTTTTTACCCCGAGACCTGAAAGGTATATAGGAATCGCCAGGGGACAGGGGTGCAGGTTCGGGAAGTGAGGAAACGAGCAAATACGCGTGGAGAATGAAGTATTCCCGAGGGAGGACGCACTTGGTGGTGGCAGGGCTGGAAGGCAGAGACTCGAACGGAAGGTGACAAGTCTCTAGGAGTGGGACATGGTCTCCGTTTTACATGGGAAGAAACCGACCCCAGAATGCTCAGGTGGCAGGAACTTGAAGCTCGCTCATGTGCAAATAACATAGATGGTCCTGCTTCACGTTCAGTCACTTCAGGGGCAGGAACGGGCGTTTGAGAAACAGACTGACAGATCTGAACTATGCAGGCATCAGTGACTTCATCTTAGTCCAGCGGCTGGCCGGGGAGGAGGTCCCTGGCTGTGTGGGAGCACAGGGAACTGTAGAAAGAGGAGAGCCAGGCGGCCGTGCTCCCGGGAGGCCTCTTCCACCCGGCCCAGAGGTCTGTTGCTCTTGATGAGAAGAAGCCCAACAAACCAGGTCGCAGAGCTAACTCCTGTCCCCAAATCGAGGGTTCTGTGACCCCCCACCCAATGTGAAATTTGATGGCGCTTCTCAGAATAGAGGCCCTTTCCTGTCCCCAGGGCACAGATTCACCTCCAGATGAAGAAATTTCTGGGCAGCTGCCTGATGTTGTAGAAAGAGCCCAGACTGGGAGAGGAGACGCGTGTTCAAATCCTGGCTCCTATACTACCAGCTTTGGGACTTTAACAAAGTTACTTAACCTCTCTACGTATCAGTTTTGTCATCTGGAAAAGAGAGCTATTACACCTGCCTTGCACAGCTGTCCTAATGAAATAAGCAATGCAGATCCGTAGTGTTGGCCCCCAGCATGTAGGAGGGGCCCCGGAGATCTTTCTGAGTTCGCATTTACTGCTTATGGCTTCCCTGTTTTTTGGGGCTCTAGAAAGAGTTGGGTGACGGGCTGTGAGGGAACCTTTACTGATTCCGCCATTGGAGAAGCAACACAGAGTACGAGCTCTTCAGGGGCCATGGGAAGCTCTGTGTTTATGGAAGATACTCCTTTATGACTCTGCCCTGTGCTTTAAAAGGAAACACAACAGTGGTGCCGTGTTCTCCAGGAAAGCTGCTAGGCTCCTCTAACGATGGATAAATTTAAATGCATTTAAAGTCAGTGTGAACGTACAGTGTTCTCTGCTTTAAATCCCTTTCATCCAGGTTTACATGGCCCTTCTCTGTCACTTCTGATCCAATTATAAATGTACAGCCATTCCTTCTCTCTCCCAGCTTCTGGGTCACTTCTGGGACCCTCCCCCCAAAACTCCCTGGCCTATGCAGAGGCAGGACTAGTGTGGTGGAAGATGGCCTTCAGGCCATCCTGGCTACCCTCTTCATTTCCAGCAGGCTCCCCTCGCTCAGCCTGTCAGCCAGTGCCTCAACTCATCATTCCTATCAGTCTTCATTCCAGTCCTGTGGTAAAATAACAGAACTGCTGCGTTTTTATGTTTCTGTTACCTTAGGCCAGTCTTTGTAGGTACCTCCGACACCATCCAAGTAATCTGAGGGTACTTCTGGGTTTCTTCAGGGCATCTGAATGAAAGGAGAAAGGCAGAAAGGAATTGAGAAGTACCTTTTTATGTCCTCTGTGTACTTCTCATTGCCAGCTCTGAGGGTGGAAGTGAGACTCGTGGGCTCCACACCGGATTTACGAGTGAGGAGACCAAGAAGGTGAGAAATGCCGCTTGGAAAACTAAAGGCCGAGTAAGGTAGCTCAGTCTGTGTCGTCTCCAGAAGTCCTATCAGTGGGAGGTTGAGATCTCAGTACTTTTCCCCTCCCTGTCTCTTTGGAGCCCCTAACCCTTCCCAACCATGGCCACTAGCTTGGAACCCTGGAGCCAGCACTCCTCAGAGGGACCAGTGCAGCCATTAATGGGGCCATGTTGCATCTCAAGCAGGACTGAGTTTAGGGCACGTAGCCCCATAAAAGCCATGCTGTACACAGAGTTTAGACCCTGTGGAAATATTAGTACTTGAATTCAGGCACATTTAGGACTTAAACACTGTGGTCAAGAAGCAAAGTGTCTTTCAAAATGCCTTGGGAGTATTTATTCTTTTAAGATTTCTATTTGCGTTCCTTACCGAGCGTTCTATTGATCTGTTACTGCTTTTCTCGATGATTCATTGAACCAACATGCTCATAAAACCCTTTGTAATTTGATCCAAACACTTATTTAGAGTTTGTTGTTTATCTTTTAATTAATTTGGTGTTTTTAAAAAAGGTTTTATTTATTTATTTGACAGAGAGAAAGTACACAAGCAGGGGGAGCAACAGGCAGAGGGCAAAGCAGGTTCCCCAATGAGCAGGGAGCCTGATGCTAGGCTCAATCCCAGGACCCTGGGATCCTGACCTGAGCCAAAGGCAGATGCTCAACCAACTGAGCCTCCTCGGAGCCCCAATTTGTTTTTGTTTTTGTTTTTTTTTTTTTTTTTTTTTTGACACTTAGAAGCTTTAAACTTTAAGGCAATCAATTGTTTTTATCTTTTGTAATTTTGGGATCATTTCTTAGCTTAGAAAATTCTCCATTTATTTATAAGAGAAAATGCTAATGATTCATCTCTGTTTTATTAGGAGAGATGTTCATTTAACTCTTTATTAATTCATTTTGAATTGATTTTAGCATATGGTGTAAATAGAAGACTTTATTTTTTTCCCCCCAAGTAATGCCTCGTACCAGAAGCTTAACCATAATAGTGGCCATTTGTAATTTCCAACAAAGCCTGATGTCAACTGGGGTGCTGTGGAGATCATAAGAATGGGGTAAACACACCCCTGCCCCTGTGGAACCAACCTTAACAATGAAATGCCAGATTGAGGTGCTTTCACAAGCCTGTGACAGGTGGCATGGGGAGAGGATCTACCCTCACATCTGGCTATGGCCCATCTTGGCCTCATGCATGGCTTGTGATGCCCAGCTCACACAGAGCCTCCCATCCTTCCTCAGGCTGACATGGGGCTACTAGGTTGTCTAGCAGCATAAATGAATGTCCACCAACTATGCCATTGACAAGATAATCCTATTACGATACAGAGCAGACATGCAAAATAATGGTTAAAATTGTGTTCTAAAGAATCAGTTGCCTTATGTTGACGTGGCCATTTCTTAAGACCTGGTGCCAGACAGAGAGTCTGAGGTACTCTGCATTTACCACAAGTTAGGGAAGGAGGAGGGATAGGGGTCATAAGGTGATGGAGAGAGTGCAGGAGAATGATATTTTCAGATGGTGGAACAACTTACTGGAGATGTCACGGCATGTCCTTTGAAGATTTTTCTAAGAGCAGCATGCCTATATTTGCGGTAATTTATGGAGAGCTCTGCACTGAGGAGGCAGGAAGATCTGGTTCTTCAAGCAAGAGTCACATGAAATGAAGCAGAAGCGTCCAAGACCCTAACTGGCCTCATGTTAAACCCTGCATCCGCTGCCTGGGGCGTGACACATATCTCATTTAAACTGTCCTTAAAAACAGCACTCGTTGGGCTGTGGAGGACATACCATGATCTGTAGACAAGAGGAAGTATTTGCTGTGAAGTCTTTTCCTAGCCAAGGAGATTCCCCTCACTCCAGAGCCAGATGACAAAGGTCTGAGATTATTTTGTTGTGTTCTTTTATAAACTGCTTCGTTGAGCATGTGGGGTTCTCCACCCAAGGAGTGATTTGCGTTGATTATTTTCCTTGACTTGTATATACCGGCCATTTCCCAAGAGCAAAAATACAACATGAGAAAGTAACAGGACATTTGTGTCTTTGACAGTTTTATGAAAGAGTCCTAACAGACTGTTGAAGGCTGTGGTTAAAATTACTTATTTACAAGGCTGTTCATAAACCATGAAGAAAGGATACCAAGGCTACCGCATACCTCTATTTCAGAGATCACAGCAAATAAAATCAAGGTTTATGGCCAGTAGAATGGTGCATGGTCTGTATAAATGAGTGTACTAGTTCCTTTACAACGTGTGAGAGGCTCTGTGCCATTTTGCTTTACAAGAATGTAAGCTAATATAGTCTTGGTGTTTGGTTTCCACCTGACTCTTTAGCTCAGTTATTTAGCATACAGGTTGTTGTTGTTTTTTTTAAAGGATTTTTTTAAAGATTTTATTTATTTATTTGACAGATCACAAGTAGGCAGAGAGGAGGAAGCAGGCTCCCAGCTGAGCAGAGAGCCTGATGCGATGCGGGGCTGGATCCCAGGACCCTGGGATCATGACCGAAGAAGGCAGAGGCTTTAACCCACTGAGCCACCCAGGCACCCCTTGGTGGTTTTTTTTTTAATGTTTCGATCTATTGCTTATTTCAAGATGCTTGGGAGACTTTCTGAAACAAACTTCACTTGTGAAAAATCGTCATTTTCTCTGCAAACATGGAAAAGATCCTTGCCAATGGGTTGAAAGCAAGGGAGGGAGCACAGTCCGAGATACTCAGACAGGCCTATGTCAGAGCTCAACTTAACTCCTGTCAGTGGTGTCCTCTAAGATTTTATGATTATGTTTTTGGTCACCTAAAAATTGACATTTTGTTCTTCCTTTTAGGAAAAACTGTGTCTACCCCACCACATCCTTGAAGAGAAAGGCCTGGTCAAAGTGGGCATTACCGTTCAAGCCTTACTAGATGTAACGGTAACAAAGACTCTGTTCACATGAAACCAGCTCCTCTCTCCTTTGGGTCGGTTCAGACTCTTGTCTCGTCAGAGATCTTGAACTCTGCTCTCAGCACCTGTTCCTCCTACCCTCCCGCTCACTGCCTGTCAGCTCCCTGGCTCTGGTTGCATTGAAGGGAGGACAGAAGGGAAGATTTTCCGCCTTTCAGAACTGACTTCCATTGTTAAGATTTGAGAGATATTGACCTTAAAGCCAGTGAGGGAGCTGTCACTGAAGGACTGAGCAGCACATCAATGCCTTTTACAACCTCCTTCATCCCTTCCACGCTCACCTACTGCCATTACCAACACACCAAGCACAACCGTTTTTGCAACAAGATGCACTCGTTTTATTCCAACCAAACTTCTTGTGTATTTAGTGGGGGGAGGGGGACTCAATCAGGTATTCCACCACCAAATTTTTCAAGACGTTTCTTGAGACCATTGCCTTTTAAAAAACTATTTTCGACATACAAAATATTTATATAAATATTATTTATTAGTGAGTTGTTATTCATCCTTTGGATGCAAATTGTAAATTAGGAAACTATTTTATTACTGCTTTTTTGTGGTTAAACACTTTATTTTAATATTATAAATATTGAATTATTTTCTATCCTCTTTGGTGTGCAGTAGTTCTAGGTCTCAGTAATCATGTTTTCTGGTGTATGGGACTCAGCCAAAAAAAAAGCCAAAAACAGGTGCTTCTGTGACAAGAACTGTTTTCTGGGGAGGCATTATTTACACTTTGGTTTATGGAACATTGGTTTTATTTATATTTCTGCATTCCATCCAGTTTCCTACATTCCAGCAGCCCTGTTATCCTCTCATATAACGAACTGACTGAAATCAAGAGAGCACCCCAAAGTTATTTGTAAATAGCTGTGATGAAAAAAAAGGCATATTAAACTTGAAGATGAAATGTGAACAATTATTTTTTTGGATTCAGACTTATTTTGGTATGCACAAAACATTCACGTTTTAACACAAAGAAGTAGTAAGTGTTAGCATCATGTGTCCTGAAGTATAATTTTGCACTGCAACTTGGCTAACGAAAGAAAGTCTAGCACCAAAGGTAGATAGCAAGGAAATGGTCTAGGTAAGTAGAGGTAATAAAAAGTGCATTGTTCGATCAAAAGCTTTTGTAAGGACAGCTTTGACTGAGTGAGTGAGAATGGCGGACGGCACATGGGACCTGGATCAGGAAACCGGCCCTTCTCACACCCACCAGTCTTAAAAGAGGAAACGATTCAGAGCAGACATGCTCATTGTGTTGTAATTTAGTTGGCACTTCCATAAAACGCTGCGAGATTCACGGTCTCTGGTGTGAGACCACAGAAATGAGTTAGCCAGTTGGTGGGGCAGCTGCCTGCTACACCAAGGCAGGCTTAGGAGAAGGCTTAGGTAAGTGGTGTCCGGAAGACTGAGTAGCCTAGGGAGGAAGGAGTTCCGTCAACACAGGACTGGAGAAGAGCCAGCAAAGGAAAGGGACCACCCATGTTGGCTCAAGACAGCCACGTACGGCGTCACAGACACGGTTACATGCATGCGCGTTGACCCCGCAGTTACAGATAGCCTGGTCATTCGTCTTTCAAAGTCTCGTGAAGGCTGACGGCAGCTTCACTTCTGTGAAAAGCCACTGTAAGTTTTGAGAGCAGCAGCCGCCACAATTCATAAGAGAAATAGAAGAGTGAATGCAAAACAAGACCGCAGGAGGGCAGTATGCGGTGAACACAGACGACCTTAGGTCAATGCCAAGACTGCCCTCTGCTGGGCGAGAGGTGGGGGGCAGTTACTGGAAATGGTCGTTTGGATTGGCAGCTAGCAGTTATTTCCTATCAGATGTACTGTGCACTTTAACCTAACTTAAAATATATTTTAATATTCTTCTGTACTGCACAAATACCTGTTTTGTCAAACAGCATAATGATGTAAAAGAGAAAGGCATCTTGGGCAAAGAGCGTATTCAATGTCAACAACATGCCAAGGTCGATAGAGAAATAGGAATTTAGATTGCTGCACCTTGATGGGCATTCAGAACGCAGGGTCCTGAAATATTTTTTTACGTGTATATACGGCAAACATGAAGCTCTGTAATCCTTGTTCCGAGAGATTTTTTTCCCCCCAAATTAAAAATATTTCTTTTGATACTAATCTTCAATATTTTTCTTAAAGTTGGCTGTATAATACAAATGGCTTCAATATTTTGTGCAATGGCTTTTTTTCCTTTTAAATGCAGTCCTTGTATGGCTAAGACGTCTTCAAGATCCTTGTACACTGTTGATATGTGCAATAAAATGTGCATGGCCCCTGAGAGTACCGTAAGTGGACAGAATGTACATAGTGCAAATATCCTTTCTTTTATTATTTAACAGCCATTAAAACTTTGAATTTGTACAAACCATCTTCTGCCTGACTTACCCATCCGATGCAAACGTTGACCATAGTCACAAAAGAAATCCTAGGGTGTTGTTGCGGAAATAGAGGGTAGCAATTATCTAGTGTGTGTGTATATACATATATATACACACACAGTGTGTGTGCATCTATAATATATGTATCTTCCAACCTTTTTTTTTTTTCCTCGAACTAAAATCTTCCCTGGAAGCGCAGAACATACAGCAGTTAAAAGCAGCGTTGCTGTGGTGAGGGGGAGTGGAGGGGTAGACTTAGGACCCTCCACCTGGCCCTTGGGTGGCGGCTCCAGAAGGTGTCACTGAGGAAGCCCAAGGGCTGTGTGGTGCGTGTTGTAGAACCACAGGATCTGGTCCTCTCTCAGCTGCCCCCAGTGGGATCTGACCCGCAGAGAGTAAAGTGGCTGACATGATTGTGCCTCCCAAGAAGCCAGGCTGAGGTTTTTCCCACACGCGCAGCCTACCTCTGGTGGAAGAGCATCTGCTTTGAAAAATTCAGGTGAAAACAAAACACAGGACACCAACAGCCCAAGTAAGCAGGGACCAGGGTCAGGGCCTCTGCATTCAAGATCCGTTCCTCCTGAGTTGAGAAAACCAAGGCATGGCCGACAGTGTTCCGTTGGGCAATGCTGCTCCTGTGCCCAACCTCAAGCTCTTAGGTATCTTAGTCTATCACATGTCGCACAAGCCTAGCATTCACAGACACTTGGCCCTGTCAGTTGGCTGGAGCACCTGGGGAACATGTGAAGGGCAAGCAAAAGGGAGGCCACGGGAGCAGAGCACTGGGGGGACCTGGCAGGCAGAGGGGGTGGGGGACATTTGCACTGGGGTCATCCATCCGGTTCAGCCATATGGCATTGGCTGCAGCAGGGGACTGTCCCAACGACCGAGTTCTGGCCAACAGTTGCGTGGGGGAGCTTCCCAGTTCTTCCTAGTGAGTCCAAGAGATCCAGGCAGTAACGACCTCAGTGGGGCTGGTTATCTAATCTGCCGTCTCTCCCAGGAGGTCAGCTCGGAGGGACCAGACCCAGTTGAGTCTGGTCTCAGGGGATGTATGAACTCAGGGAGTTCTCCTAGGAGCTGGTGCTCCTTGTGTGGGGGGCCTGTGTGTAAAGCAGGGCTCCACTACCTTTACTCCTCACACCCACATACTAATGGGCCATCATAATGGCCAATATTCATTGAATGGCTACTGTGGGTCAAGTGTTTTTCAGCACTAAAAAGATGCCAGTTAGAATTAACGAACTTCGCATAGAGTATTTTAAAGATTCTTGCCAAAACGCTATCAGGAAAGGACTTGTGGACACCTATACTCAATACCACATACGTCAGGGAACTAACACTGCCTCCTAAATCAGAGGTGTTTGTGGTTCTTACCTGACGTTGCCCATGTGGCTATTGTTTATTGATTCAAGTAGCCTCCTTACTCAATTGCCAATAAGTCTCTTCCCCAAGATTCTCATTCTTTTCCTGGTAACTGGAGACAAAAGTCCTAAAACCCAGAAGAGACCTAGAGGATAACGCTGACATTCAGAGAGAATTAGGGATAAGCAATTTGTTCAAGCTCACATCAGGTAAGACAGAGGGCAAGGCAGGGTCAAGTTCAACTGTCCAGCTTGTGTCCTTTTCATTGTACAGAAGGCATCCCAGCAGAGCTCACCTACTGAAGTTCCTAGAGTTTGTTTGTTTGTTTTAAAAGGTATTGGGCAATTCTTAGGATGTAGAGATACAAAAGAAGGCAAACTTGTGGGATAAACTTGATAAGCTGAGCCTATTGGGACTGGTTTGAATGCTAGCTAAGACAGATCAAGGCCAGGGAAAGAGGTTGAGGGAACAGGCCCAGTGGAGAGGAAGTGTTCCTCGCATTGAATGAGGTCGAGGAGAATGCTTCCAGTTTCCTTGCCATTTCTCTCTCCCAATTTGGTAAAACATTACTATAGATTTTTTTTTCTAATTTTGGAATTTTTATCTGTTTATCAAAGTGATACACATTTATCATAGAGATTTTCGACAGTATGAAGAGGTTGGAGAGGATCACCTGTAATCCCATCATATAGGGAATGTTAAACTTTTGAAATCTTTTCTTTGAGACATTCCTATGTATTTTTTACACAGGACAACCTTACATACTTTTTCCCCCTTGTTAATACTAGAGTATATGCATTTTCCCCAAGGTAATACTGTTTGTTCAAAGACAAAATGGAGTTCCCTGAACAGGCATTAATAATATTTTAGAAGCCCCCTCTAAAAACATCTAGTTGCTAGAATTACATGGTCTTATGTGGGCAGTACCTAAAAGAAGCAGACAGACCCTGAAATAAGGTTAAGGGCCATTAGGTCTTTGGAAGACAAAGGAAGTCTGCAGGGGATTCAGGAGATACTGCTAGAAAGGGAAAGTGGCCAATAGGAGGTACGTTTTTAAGCCAGCCCCACAGTGAAAGCCTGAAGTTCAGTATTGGCGAGAGCATCTCATATCTCAGAATCCTCCCAGCCCAAGTGCCAGGAAGTATTTATATCCCCCCAAAACCTCCCTCAACATCATGCCTAGAAATGCTTAAAAAAATAAACATATGCCCCTTTAAATGCTTTGCTTATATAAGAATATAAGGAAATCTCCAGGAATCCTAAGCAGAGAGGGAGGTAGAGGCCAGAGTATTACAATGAAGGTGAAGCCATGACCTTGCTGGGAGCACCAGTCCATCCTCTTGACCAGGAGACTGTGTATTAACTAACAGGAACTCTGTGATGGCGACAAATACATGGACCCGGTCAAGGTGAGTCCTGAGTTGGACCTGGAATCTCTGAGCAAAGCCAGCCTCCATAAAGGGCTGAGTCTTCATGGAGAGGATAAAGAGAAAAGTAGTCTGTCTACGAAGAGAGATGACAAGGAGAGTAGCCATCCTTGGGGGAGAGGAAGTGGGAAATGTTAGCTCCTGTCACTACAGGTCTCATCCTCCACAGATCTATGCTTTGAGTTTCTACTGCAACTGTGGCCTGGAAACCCCAAGATGAAGAATATTCACTTACAGTGTCTCAGGCTGGCCACATTCCAGGACACCAAGGAGAAGACAAAACAGTTCCTTACTGAAGCAGGCTCCACAGGTTCCCCGGGTGACACCCGGCCATGTACGAGCAGCCCATGCAAAACTACAAAAGAAGCTCTGAGACTTGAAGCCTCTAAGTTTTTTGCAACTTAGATTTGAGGGCAAGACCCGATTGGAGTTGGTAGGAAGCTATTCAAGGCTTTATCATCTTAGTGTGATATTAAGAGGAAAGTAAGTACAACACAGGAGTGGCGAGATGTAAAGAGATGGTAACTGAGATCTTCCCAAAAGTGATAGAGCATTTGAATGCTCAGATTCAGGAAGCACAACACATTTCAAGCAGGATAAGTAAAAATACATCTCGATCCATAGTGATCCGGTAAAAGCGATCCTAAAAAATGAAGACATGTCCTCAGATTTCTTCATTCTGCCTTCTAATGGCTGGGCGTTCCACTTGGTAAAGGCACTCGGGGACG